AAGATCGTCGTCGATCCCGACGCGCTCGTGATGGGAAAACGAAGCTTCAAAGGCGCTTGGTGAAGCATCTGTATGTTGGGGACCGGCGGTGCGGGTGCGACGGTGAACGGAGAAGCTTCGTTTCCCCGCCGCTGCGACGCGCGGTGACCGACAGCTCTCAAAGCGAGCGTGTCGGCGCGGTCGCGGGCCGAGACGAGGCCGCGCCTTTTGGGGGTCGAGTCCGAGACCTTCGCCGCGCGGTCTGTCTTGCTACCGCGCCGCAACGCTCCTTTGCCGCGGAGAGAGCCGCCCGGGCCTATTTGTGCGGGCGAAGCGTCCGACTGAGCTGTTCCGAATGACGGCCCGCTGTCTCGCGGTAACTTGTCGCTTACCTCGGTGTCTTTGCGCGCGTGCCAGTCGACGAGGACGGCATGGACTGTCTGGACAACGAGAGACGACCGCACTTCCCGCAGTTCTCCTACTCGGCCAGCGGGCGGGAATGAACGCGGCGCGCCCTCTAACCCCGCCCCCCGCTGTGACATCATCACGGCTGGTCCATGAGGTCCTCGGCGTGGGACGCCCAAAAAGAGAAAAGCGGGAAACCCCCGCAGCTTCCGGACCCGGAGGAATCCACTCCAGGAAGGATTTTGCCATCCCCCCCCCCCAGCCATTTTGTCTCATTCACGCTTCACGAAGGGAGCGGAAGGTACGAAGGCGGGTTAGCCGCTAATGTGATGTCAGCCGGGTGGGACGGCTCCGTTCCGATTGGTCCCCCGCCCCCCCTCTGGCCATCCCCACAACGTACGCGTGACTCGGTTGTAATCTCAGGCTTTTTTTGCACACGTCAACCATATTCTGGGATCGACTGAGCGGGTCCGGTAGGCGGGAGTTGACTCGGGTGCCATCTCCCAGTCGTCGTTGCTGCTATTCCAACATCCGCGTCACGTACTCGTCCTCTTCAACCGGACGACCGCTCAACACATCCATCGCTAGTCGGGCTGGGCCTCTTGACCTTAAAAGAAGCATTTTATTCCTCGATTTATTTATTTATTTGTTTGTTTGTTTGTTTTGATGGCAGCTATCCTGATACCAAACACGTTTTTTTTTCCCCCCTCTCTGAATCAATTTCCAGAGAAGTAGTGGAAGTAAAAAGCCTCATCTTCACAGAGACATCGGAATTGGTTTTCGTTCTTGTTGGGTCTCCAAAAGTCTGAACCAAACCTAATTGTCCAAAAACCAAAGCAACGCTTCCCTCAGGACATGATGTCAATCCACTTAATCCATCCCAGAAAGCCGGAAAGGTGAACAAAAATACACTTTTCGGTCGTCGGCATCGAGAAAATGATGTTTGATCTCCAAAGCAATCAAATGACGAATACATGCTATTTTGATCGCACTTCAAATTGAAACGAAATCGATCAATGACAATGCGGCGTTTTGTTGACCTATTTGTCCCCCAAATCCAAAAGAGAAGCGTTCCTTCCTCAGTTGCCATCGATCTGAGGGGGCTGCCGTGTTGGGCAAGATGGCCTCCTGCCCACAACCCAACCGAACGTCACAGCGACTCTCGTCATCACGTGACCGAGCCCCCAAAACAGCTTTGCGGACTCCCTGCGGGCAATGTGAAAAGCCTTTTCCGCTTGTTGTCTTCTTTCATTTCAAAGTCAAGCTCCTTTTTATTGACAGCCCCGTTGTTCATCGAAGCAGGGCACCTCCACAAGGATCCCGCCTGCCCCCCCCGCCCAGTCAAGCGGAATTACAGTAACCAATGAAATGGAAGTGTGGCCCAGCCCTAACCGCTAGCTAGCGACACATCACACGTTAGCAGCTTGCTAACTTGCTGCTGACGTGGACGCCGGGACACATCCACGTGGATCGAGCCGACAAACCGCTCAAGGATGTCACGTTCTCACGCGAGAGGGCTCCGCGTCCAAGCGCAGCAGTTCCCCTTCTAGCTTTACTAGCCATGATGTGACCGGACAGTGGCGGGGCACCACCACGCCGCCGTGGACGCAAACGTATTGGAATGATGAGGACGACCGCTCCTTGGTCGGAGGTACTAATGGCTTATTTATGATGCCGCTCATCGATGCTCCCCTTTTTTTCTATTTGCCTTTTTTCGATGGACCGACACGCGATTCTACCGGACGAGTCTGTGTGCGATAGGGCTGAGAAAACAATATGGCCGAAGAATGTAGCCGGCCGGCTCTGTCGTTCGTTACCCCCGCCAAGCATTCTTTGTGTATTTATGACTTGTTGGGTGGGTTGTGCGCGTGATCGACACTTTCCCGGGCTGAGGTCCCGTCCGTGGCCGTGACAGAGGTTGCCGGAGAGCGCGGACCTCCACCAAGGCGTTTTTGTTTTACCGAGAGACGTTTTCAGGTCAGAGGGTGGAACCTTTCGATTCATTTGCACAAACCATGACAAATTCACCTCAAGGGTTGCAGGCTTGACATCACCGTCGAGGACAATTGATTGCAAACAGGGAAAATGTGATCCTAACTGTTGAACGGGAAATGGAACGGACCATTACACCGTGCTGCGCAATATCTTGGCTGCGGAGTACGAGTCCGTACATGCTGTCAATGAATTATGCACGACTATGTTGGACAGGGTGTCCCTAATATATGCCTTAAACAGCTTATACACACACACACACATACACACACACACACACACACACACATACACATATATATATATAGTGTGCGCGTGTGTCTCGTGTCTAAAAACAGCATTCCAAAGGTTCCACTCTGCGACTTACTTACTGGCAAAACAGTTCAGAGAATGGATGGATGGATGGATGGATGAATGGATAGTTACACCCCCCCACCCCCATTTAAAAAAAAAAAAAACATTCCGGGCGAAATAATTGTAGGTTTTTTTTGTGCGTCTGACCTTTGAGACTCTTCTGTTGTTTGTTTGTGTGTGTGTGTGTGTGTGTGTGTGTGTGTGTGTGTGTGTGTGCGCGCGCGCGCGCG